TTCCAATGTATAATCCTCCAGAGTACATACCACTGCAGCACATACTGTGGCTGCTGATCTCAGAAGCAAATGCAAGAATCCAAATCCCCTTGCTACATGGTTTTGAATCTTGAACATTATTCAACTACCAACAGCCTTAATTAAACATAATGAGCATCAGGGTGATGTCAGTTTCAAATTCCTTCATTTTAAAATCTCTTTAATAATCATGTACAGTGACCCGGCAATTTGCATGTTAAGAAATCATCCATCTGCTTTGCATTGGAGTCAGTGGGCGCGGCTGATTGGAAATAACTCTGGTGCTCTGTGGTAATTGTGTGCAGATGGGCTCAACCCATCAAGACCCCGGCCTCACTTCCAGTGTGGCACAGCCCGCGCTAGCTGAACCAGTATCCCAACTGCATAACCAGATGTGCAGGCTGGGTCTCTTCTCCGTGTGCATTCCATTATGTAAGTGATTCGAATTTTTCTTTTTTAAAATTATTTTTGAACAAATTAGTCATCTGAAATCTAGACTATTCTGTTGAAAATTCAAAAGGGTTATCATATGGCACCCCACAGTATGTGACAATACAGGTTTGGGTGGGGTTTTTCCCCCTTTAAAAGGCAAAAAGCATTACGGTGAAAGCAAAAGAACAGAAACCCAATGCTTTAAAAAAATGTTGAAAATACACTGATGATGGTAAACAACCAGCAGATGCATATTCATTGTGAGATTCTATTACTAGTAAAACTCTTCTGTGTTGAATGTAAATGGTATGAAAATGTAGCAAGATGAAATGTTCTAGTGATTCAATGATTAGCCACTACTTAATATCACTCATAAAAATAATCGGTACTCTAGGAATTTGTATTGACATCAGGTTAAGGCACTGGACCACTGGATTCAATTCACACATTCAATTCACTCATGAGAAGTTGCATTAGTCCATCTCTAAAGGCATGAAGTTTAAATATTTCATGTTAAGATATTTGTAGAAATATTAAGTTAACTTCATTATCAGGTCTTTCCGGAAAGAAATAAAGTGACACATAAATTAATTCTTGGTTCATCCATGGCAACGGGTAAACATAGATAACTGAAAGCCACAGATTAATCTGTATGTTTATTTATATTTATGTTTGGAAAAATGTTTAGCTTTTCCCCTTCCCTATCCAAACCAATTACCACAGTTGGAAGCCAGGAGAGGCAGTTGGGTTTGGCATTAAAATAATAAAACATATTACTTTCTGGAGGGAAGACTGTCTAACAGTGCCATAAAACAGGCTTAATACAGGAAGAGAAAGAAAATATTACAAAATGCAATCATCTATGCCCTACTGTAGAAGATAAGCTCTTTAAACTTTCCGCAATTATATTAGGGTTTGCATTTTATAGAACTAGCACTTTCAAGCATCTTCATTCACTTTAACCTTTTCAGGGCTTCTGTTTTGCTGCTACTAATTTTATTTAAAAAGTAAAAGGAAGGATTTCTGTTTGTTTCGAACTGTAACAGTAGTCTATAAAGTTAACCTATGAGTATCAGCTAAGAGCAGTTCATTCAGTATAACCCAAGTTTCCAGAATATAAAGCTTTTGAAGCTAAAAATCAGTATCTCCCCCCACATTCTGCCTTCCATGAAAGCAGATCGAACTGAAAGTATTTTTGCATTTCTGTAATCTTTAATTTTTAAAAATTAATCCAATATGCAATCAGTTGAAAAAATAGTTCAGGGGCTAGTACATATCAATTTATGGGAAAATTTTTAAAAACTGATTTTCCCACATAAATGAGTGCTGTGTGCATGACTACTTTAGTAAAGAACTACTGTGTTGGTGTCATATTCATGTGGGTACCCAGTGCCCAATACAGATCGTAGCAGATAGCAGGTTCTCCATAAATGTTTATTCAACTGAAAAGTATCAGTACTTGCAGATCCAGGTGACACCTTAAACTTTTAAACTTAAACTGGGGGAAATGTTAAGAAAATGCTCGTCAGGATTTCCAAACAGCAACTACTATGTGATGACACTTTAATAAGTAAATAACCAGTGATTAACAAGCTCATAAGGAACTTACAGTTTTTCCGTATTTGTCCAATAGAACTTGGTTCTCCATTACGTGCACTCTGTATTTAATTTAAATATTTTAGCTCTACAAAGTAATTAGCAATGACAAGGACAGAAAAACCCATGTTATTCATTAGCCTAAAATGATTGATAAGCCAGTGATTTCATTAGGTTAAAAAGATACTGATATATCTTTTGGTTGACCTACAGAATAACAATACAATGATGCCAAGTGAAAGCTTAAGTGACTGTCCTACACAGTCAAAAGAAAATGGCAGGGAGGCTGGCTGGTTGGCTCAGTTGGTTAGAGCTCAGCCTTATAACACCAAGATCACGAGTTCAGATCCCCGTACCAGCCAGCCACCCTCCCCCTGCTAAGAAAAGAATGACACGGACAGCTAGTGCAGGTGGGAGCAGGTGTTAGATATATTTCTGCTGCCAGCTACTGAATCACTTAGGAACAGCCTGCCACCTCAGTTTCAGCAGTTGTAAACTGAGAGCGGGACTAGTTTATCTCAACTGACCATGGGTCCCACTCTTCCTAAGGAAAAGTGTTCCACAGACCCAGCAGAAGCAGGGAGAGGAAGGCAGCCTCCTCCGCAAGTTTGTTCTGGGCAGTAAGAAATCAATCAGAAGGTAGGAAAGAGGTCACTACTGGGACCCCAAGATTGCCAAGGGTGATATGTGTGTCATCTGAATGGGCACTCGCCAAGACAAGGGCTGGTCGGCAGGAGGCTTTCCCTGGGGCCTGAGAGCACTACTCTCCTCTTTCAGAGTGTCTGAGCAGCTGAACTCCTTGCTAGGAAGGCCAGCAGGGACTTCAAGTGGCTACTCAGCTAAGACGCCATTGAAAGGCTGACTTCCTTTTGCTTACACACACTGACTTATTCATTGGTACCATGAAATGCTCCCAGGACGTGGAAACCAGCCTTCTCAGAGGGGCTGCTGAAGAAAGAAAGAGAAAAATGTCTACCTGTACATATACACCTTTTCAACTTAACAGTAGAGTAGTCTTTAAATGCCCATTATGCAAAAGTCATTGTCACTGGGCCGGCCCGGTGGCGCACTGCTACAGTGCCCCGCTTGGGAGCGCGGCGGCGCTCACGCCAAGGGTTTGGATCCCACATACAGGCCAGCCGCTCACTGACTGAGTGAGGTGCGGGCGCAACACCGAGGGTTGCGATCCCGTTGCCGGTCCCGGTCCGGTACGGGCACGACACTGAGGGTTGCGATCCGTTGCCGGTCACGATAAAAGACACAAAAAGGAAAAAAAATAAAAATGAAATTTCTTAAAAAAAAAAAAGTCATTGTCAGGTCAACAGAGTATTTTTATTCCATTTGTGGTTAGTTCTCCATGAATTCCTTCTGTCCACAAAAATCCGAGTTAGGAGTTACTTTGTAGTAGAAGAGCAAGTTCAGCACTTTAATAAAAAGTCCATCTTATTTACTTAAGCATTTACATTCCAAATGTCTTTGCATAATTAATCATTTATTCTAGCATTTCCTAGAATATTCCTCTTATCCTCAGTAAAATAGGCATATTTGAATTTCATACTGACTCTGCAATGTTTTTATAAAAAATGTATATTTTAAGTTATATTACCTCTTTAAAATGCCCAACTTTTAGAACACTATAGGTTTTACAAATGTGTTTAAAACAATCCCTCTTAAAGTATCCTATTTTATGTTAAATGCTAACAATAAATAGCATATGATCTATAATAACAGGCTTTTTAGAAATTAAATGGTTTTAGAATTTGCAAAAGTTATTTGATGTGGTTTGTAATAAAAGGCATGAAAATAAGAAAACTTTAAATCCATTAAAGAAATATCACCCAGTAAGAAGAGGAAGCAGCAATTATTTTGAATTTGAGACATACTATTTATGCTAAGTTTCCAAGGATCCTAGGATTACTGGATGGATTACATAGATTTCAGAGGAGGGTATTTCCCAGGGGGAGATACAGGAATGGGGCAGGTGCATTACTTCTGGGAGATGCAGATTGTTATGAGGGTTAACTAGTCAGCCAGCACATCATTCAAAACTGGCATTGCTGTTGAATACTGTTTTGTACATATTATTTTTTAAATTTACCAGTATTTAGAAATAGTATGTATTTTGTGTGTGTGTGTGTAAGGGGGAGGGAAGAGAGAGAGGAAGACATCTATTATTCTTCATATTTGTAATGAATAATGCCTACTGATTCATTCTACTTTACTCTTCAAAGTAGAGCAGAAAAAAATAACAAAATGTTACGTACCACAGTGTACATTGAGTGTATCCAAAACTATACATAATACAACAGAAGCAATTTGGCATCAAATAATTTTGTCCCATTTACAGAAAAAAACAAGTAGTACTTAGCACGAAGGAGTTAAGTGCTCTAGAAACTGCTTCTGAATGTAAACTACTACATCTGCTAATTTGCTTGATAAATTGAATGAATCTCCATTTCTTGGAAGGAGGCAATTCCCTTGTTTAAGATCTCAACACTAATCAAAATATTTAAAGTCTACACAATGATGCTTTTGTCATTGGATTATGCCAACAGCAAAACCACAATACCAGTATCTTTATTATGTGTTTTTCAAGTGTACCCCATCTCTAGCCTATTTTCCAAGAATTTAAATCTATTTATTCCAATGTACCCAGTAGAGCTAAATTGATTTATTCTTACTAGAGAAAAATACAAAACAGTTCCTGAATTGCTGCTATCCCTATATGTTAAACTTAAAAAGAATTAATATTAATGCTTTGCTCTGCCCCATTTTGAGTTTATTTTGGATGATCTCTGTGGTTCATGAATATTTTAAGATGTGTACCTATGGCATAAGTAAACTTTCTTAAAGTGTATTTCTTGGACTTTTCACATCTATGGTTGACACCCTGCCCTGGGCACACACACTCCTGTGATGTGAAGTCTCTTCACATACTCTGCTTTGCTCATTACCTTTGTACAGAGTCTTGGGCACTTGGCAAGTGTGTCCACAGCCATTCGAACAACATTTCTTCACCCCGGAACACTCATTGTCAACTTCACAACTTTCGACGCAGGCAGCGGCAAACCCACTGGCTTTCTCCGGAGCCGGACAATCCCCCTGCTTCACCAGCAGGATGTACTTGAGGAACTCGCAGCTAGTCAAGCATTCATAGTTCTTCTTGGGGAAGAGGGGCTAAGAGACAGAAGAAGGAAAAAAAATATTCCATTAAAGTACATGAAGTCTGATTTCTAACACATCTAATACACACTCATCATTTTTACAACACCAAACTTCTGTTGAATGTTTCATAAAATAGATGCATTTGTTTCTTGTCCCTTATCAAAGTGACATTTTGTGCTGATTTCCCAAAGCAATGTGGCTCATAAGGGATGGTTTTATATTGCAGGCAGCAGACACACAGCATGCAGATGCCCATGCATTTGCAGATCATTACATTCTATCCCAGTTCAAAGACAGTCAGATAGTTATCAGAAAACGGTTATAGGAAGAAGACACAGGTAGCCTCCCCCATCTGACAAAAGGCAGGAGCATGCCTAGGAACCCAGGCAGGACCTATGGGTACCCTCTCCCACCTGACAGAAGGCAGGACAAAGCCTGTGGACCCAGGCAGGAGTTGCAGGTAGCCCTAGCACCTAACAGAAGTCAGGAGCATGCTGCAAACACCACTTCCATGTGGGTGGTCCAACACAGCCACCACAACAGCAACAGCTGCCACTAGGCAGCCCACCACCCACTCAACTGCATTGACACAAGGAGAGTCACTAACTGAGCACAGAAAAAGAGGCAGAAGTCTCTCTTCTCAAAGCTCATTCCAGAGTAATAAAAGGAACTGCTCTGCCAGATGAGTAGACATCAGTGTAGAGATACTAGAAATACCCCCCCCAAAAAAATTGACACCACTAAAGGAATACAGTAATTCTCAAGTACCATGCCTCATAGAGCAGGAAACTCTTGAAATGACTGAAAAGAATTCCAAGCAACAGTGTTAAGGAAATTCAATGATATATGAGAAGACTCAGCCACATAACAAAATGAAATGAGAAAAAATGTCCAGGATTTAAAGGAGGAAATTTACAAAGAGATTAATACCTTAAAAAGGAATGTAGCAGAACCCCTGGAACTGAAGGATTCATGCAATGAAATAATAATAATAAAAAAAAAAACCAAAAGCTTAAGCGACAGGTTAAAGCAAGCAGAAGAAAGGCTTTCTGATCTCAAAGGTGGTCTTTTTGAAATAATCCAGGAGGACAAGAAAAGGAAAAAATGAAACAGTAGAGAATCTCTGAGAGAGCTAGCAGACAACCTTAAGCACACTAACACCCTAATCATGGGTGTTCCAGAAGCAGAGGAGAAAGGAAAAGGCAATGAAAACAATGTAATAATAACAGAAAACTTCCTAGTATTGGGAAAGACATGGACCTTCAGATCTAGGAGGCTCAAAGATCCCGAAACAAATTCAATCCAAAAACATTCTCTCTAAGACACATTATAGTCACACTGGCAAAGGTCAAAGGCAAAGAGAGAATTCTAAAAGCATCTATAGAAAAGTATCAAGTCACCTACAAGGGAGACCACATCACACTAACAGCAGACTTCTCAACAGAATCTCTACAGACCAGAAGAAAATAGGGTAATACATTCAAAATACTAAAAGAAAAAGAACTTCCAGCCAAGAATACTATATCCAGGAAGACTATCTTTCAGAAATGAGGGAGAAATAGTATATTTCCCAAACAAAAACTGTAAGAGTTCTCCACCACATGACCAGTCCTACAAGAAATCCTCAAGGGAGTCCTGCACCTGAAATCTGAAAAATGATAATCACAACCATGAATACACAAGAAAGAAAAAAAAAAAAAAACCACTGGTACAACAAAAATGCAAATGAGAAAGAGAAAGAAACTAAACCTTACCACCTCAAAAATCCAACAAACATCAAAGAGAAACAATAAAAGGGGAAGAAAGTTACAAAAGATATTTAGACATCCGTACAAAAATTGATAAAATGCCAAGATTAAGACAATACTTGTTGATAAAAGCCTTAAATGCAAATAGATTAAACTCCTCACTCAAAAGACAAAGACTGGCTGATTGAATTAAAAAGCTAAACCCAACAATATGCTCTCTTCAAGAGACTCATCTGACTTGTAAAGACATACATAGAGTAATAAGGAAGAGACGGAAAAGATATACCACACAAAGGAAAACCAAAAATGAGCAGGAGTATAGCTATTTTTATATGGATAAAATAGACTTTAAACCAAAATCATAATAAGAGACAAAAAGGCTGCTAGATAATGATAAAGCCATCAATCCAACACAAAGACATAACAGTCATAAATATATATGCACCCAACACTGCAGCACGCAGATATACAAAGCAAACACTATCAGACCTAAGGAAAGAGAAAGACCCCAGTATGATAATAGTTGCAGACCTGAACACCCTTCCCTCAGCAATTGACAGATCATCTAGGCAACAAACTAACAGAGAAACATAGGATTTAAACTACACTTTAGACCAATTGGACCTGGCAAATATCTACAGAATGTTTCACCCAGCAACTATAGAATATACATTCTTCTCATCAGCATATGGAACATTCTCCAGGGCAGAACATGTTAGGTCACAAATCAAGTCTCAACAAGTTTTTAAAAATTGGAATCATTTCAATTACCCTTTCAAACCACAACAGGTTAAAACTAGAAAACAATAATAAGCAAAACTCTGGAAGCTATACGAATACATGGAAATTAAACTATATGCTCCTGAACAACTTATGGGTCCAAGAAGAAATTAAATAGAAAATCAAAATCTTCTTGAAACTAATGAAAACAAAGACACATCATACCAAAATCTGTGGGATACTGCGAAAGAAGTAATCAGAGGAAAGTTTATCACAATAAATGCTTACATTAAAAGAAAGATTTGAAATAAACAATCTATATCTACACCTCACAAAAACTAGAAAAACAAAAATAATCCAATCCCCAAATTAGTACATAGAATGAAATAATTTAGATCAGAGCTGAACTGAATGAAATAGAGTACCCAAAATGATACAAAGGATCAAGAAACAAAAATTGGTTTTTTGAGAAGATAAACAAAACAGACAAATTATTAGCTGTGCTAACTAAAAAAAGAAGAAAGACCCAAATAACAAAAATCAGAAATGGAAAAGGAAACAATACAACTCATACCACAGAAATACAAAGAATCATTAGAGACTATTATGTACAACTATATGCCAACAAATTTGAAAACCTGGAGGAAATGGATAAATATCTGGATACATATAAACTACCAAGACTGATCAAAGAAGAAATAGAGAACCTGAGAAGACCAATAACAAGCAATGAGATTGAATCAGTAATAAGCAGTCTCCCAACAAAGAAAAGCCCAGGATTGGATGGCTTTACTGCTGAATTCTACCAAATCTTTCAAGAGGAATTAATACAAATTCTCTTCAAACTTGTTTGAAAAGTGGAAACAAAGGCCATTCTCCCAAACTCATTCAATGAGGCCATCATCAACCTGATACCAAAATCAGACAGAGATACAACAAAAACAGAAAAAAGTACAGGCCAATATTTCTGATTAACATAGACACAAAAATCCTCAGCAAAATATTAGCAATCAGAATGCAGCAACACATCAAAAAAATCATACACCATGATCAAGTGGGATTCATCCCAGGGATGTAAGGATGGTTTAAAATACTTAAGTCAATAAATGTGATATACCACATCAAAAAAATCAAGGACAAAAACCATATGATTATCTCAATAGACACATAAAAAAGAATTTGACAAAATTCAGCATCCTTCTTGATAAAGAATCTCAGCAAATTAGGTATAGAAGGAAATTATCTCAAAACAATAAAAGCCTGGGGCCAAAGCCTTATACAACAAACTCACCACCAATATCATTCAGCTTTTCCCTTAAGAACAGGAATTACAAGGATGCCCACTGTCACCACTCCTATTTAACATAGAAATAGAAGTACTAGCCAAGCATTCAGGCAAGAGAAAGAAATAAAGGGCATCTTGATTGGAAAAGAAGAAGTCAGACGGTCACTGTTTGTTGATAAAGAATCTCAGCAAATTAGGTATAGAAGGAAATTATCTCAAAACAATAAAAGCCTTATACAACAAACTCACCACCAATATCATTCAGCTTTTCCCTTAAGAACAGGAATTACAAGGATGCCCACTGTCACCACTCCTATTTAACATAGAAATAGAAGTACTAGCCAAGCA